CCGGTTTTCCCGTGCGCTTGGGTATCGCATACGGCCCCGTGAAAGTTTTGGCGAAAAATTATCTCGGGAACCATGAAAGCTAGGAAGCTGAATTTCAGGACGATATTTCCTGCCGCTGCAGGTGTCTCACAAACTCAAATTTAGCTCTCTAGTATGCAGAGATCTTACGTTAGACCACATGAGAATTTTGATGTGAAAGTCACTAGCTCGGAAGCCGGAAAACTAAAAGGTTGAAATTTGGAAGGATTTTTCCCATCTATTTTTTCAAATTCAGCTTTCGCGTACCAGCACATGAAATTTTCAGTGGGAACTTCCTCACCTTAGGAGCAAGGCAGCATATCCACTATTTTTCCATAAACGAAAGTGTAAAACAGTTATATTTTCAGTAAGCAAACGTCCGTTGGGCGGAACTGCGCAAAACGCATGATTGCACCGGCTACCCTGGTGCGCGTTGCCATTTATTTTGATATTTTGAGCCATCTTATCTTTTATCTTCTGTGTTTAGCAGCTAATGCAGGTGGCACCAAAATCAGTGGCGGGTACGTATCAAGGATCGTCGTTGTTCTCTTCACCGCCATCCACGTCAAACGGACAAGCATCGATGCTTACGGTGGCCGAATTGGCGTGCTCGGCCACTTCGGGCTCGACAGCTCCACTGCAGTCTTCAATGAACATAAATTCACTTCAGGAGGAAGGCGTGGATGAATTGAAGAATTTTCGCATAAATGAGGTATCGGAATTTGCTTGATTTTAGCTATTTTCGTTTTGGGAAGATGAATTTCCCGCGAATTTTGAGAAAAAGTACTGCGAAAATGTTTGAAGAGCTGCGGAAATCATTTAATTGGAAAAGAAAATGCGGAAAATTAAGTAAGAGTACCGAAAGTTTAGTCAAATAGAGCAGAATTTGATGTTAACTTGAGTGGCGGGGGAGCGGGACGGGAGAACTTCCCCTGTCTCTTGAAGAGGCAAAATCATCAAATTCATCAATACAGCTCTAATTTGAACTCTAATTTTGGCGTCCTTTTTGCGGTCTCGATTCCTCTTAGTTTGTCAATTTTATTATGCGTTTTGTGCTGTGTAACAGCGTTACAAGACGCACATTGTCACGGGGTTGTCTGTATGTGTGTTTGTTTGTGTGTCTCACATTTTGTCCCGCACTTCCAACTCGGAAACCACAAAAGCTAGACGGCTGAAATTTTGGTATAGTGTTCCCCGCTAACGAGTGACGCGGCAAATTTAAATTCAGCCTTTCCGTACCCGCGGGTAACTTGTACGGCTCCGTGAAAGTTTTTTACGGGTAGGTCAGCATCTCAGGAACCACGGAGTCTAGGAGGCTGAAATTTTAGGGTAACGACCCCCTGCCCACG